CTGCAACCCTCTCACCACTCTTTCAAGATTGCTGGTGTGACCGTGGAATGAAGCTTTCTCAGAAAATGTGCTTCACACCCCTCAGTGTTGGGGGAGGCGAGGACCTGCTCCCGATGAATTCAAGAGGGCAAAAATGAAGATGGTGTGGGTTTTCCTCTTACGTAATTCTCTCATCTTGATACAGCTCGTCAGTTGAAGGAGTGGTTTTTGTTTGTTTCAGGAAGACATGCATCTCTTCTCTTACTTGTAAGAGAAAATCTCATGTAGATCAGTCAACGTTTCACCAGGAGCTCCATCTCCAGCTGGATTCTGAGTTCCCGGGGGCTGGAGGCCGCATCAGACTTCTCACTGTGGCCCTTTCCGAGTCTAGGCGGCACCCGATCAGGCAGTTACACTCCAGAAATACAGGGGGGTCGAAATGGAAACCTGTCCCAGCGCCGTAGCTTTTTCCCTCTGTTCCGGCGATTCGTGTACGTGTGGAAGGTATTCTCAGAGGTGTGTTGTCCCACAAGAGGGACTCACTGCACCTTGGCAGCCTCTCTCTGCCTCCATGGCTCCCTCCTCCTTCCGTTCTAGACCCACAAGTTCACGGTCTCCCATTCCTCCCCGTCAGCAGCTCTCTCTGGTTGGCCTCCTCTGCTCGTTCACTGTGATGTGATCTCCTTGGAGAAACGGGTGCAGACAGTTCCGCAGTCAAAGGGTGATGGTCCAGCACAGAGTCGTCAGCATAGATGCCTCTGCCTCTCTCCCTCTCGTCGTTGTTCTCGAATAAATGCCTTCCAGTTGATGCTATGGAAGGTTCAAATGTAAGCCTGAAACTGAAAAAGGGAAAATAATAATTAGCACCAACATGAATCATTGGTGAGCTGGGTATATTTTAAAGGTATAAAAAGGACAGCCCTTGGGACTTCCCTGGTGGCACAGTGGTTAAGAATCCACCTGCCAATGCAGGGGACACAGGTTTGAGCCCTGGGCCGGGAAGATCCCACATGCCGCGGAGCAACTAAGCCCGTGTATCACAGCTACTGAGCCCGCGCTCTAGAGCCCGCAAGCCACGACGACTGAGCCCACGCGCTGCAACTGCTGAGCCCATGCTCCGCAACAAGAGAAGCCCACGCACCGCAATGAAGAGCAGCCCCCCGCTCACCGCAACTAGAGAAAGCCCATGTGTAGCAGCAAAGACCCAATGCAGCCAAAAATAAACAAATAAATTTATTTATTTATTAAAAGAAAAAAAAAACGACAGCCCTCCCTTTTGATGATCTTTTCTGGAAAAAGAGCCCACAGCATTCTTGGGAAATTCAGCATAAGGTTCACAGTCAGGAGAGAACTCAGTGATGCCAGAGCCTCGGGGAGGAAGTTCAGAAGGACGAAGACTGGAAGATACCTGCAAGGAAGAGATTCGTGTCTTACGTGCTGTAAGAATGTTCTTACAGGGGGTGTAAGAACGTTCAGTTAAGGGGCAGAGAGTCCTGTAGGAGTCCAGCCTCACTGGCTTCTGCCCTGAAAATTCACCTATTGAAGTGCCTGGTCCTGAACCACTGGCTGCTTCACCGGTGAGACGTAGTCAACCCGAGCGATGATCAGATCTGTCGCCGCGATCCTGCCGTGCGTTGCACGTGCTGATTTCTGTTTGAGGAAGGGCTGTATGTTGGGGATCTATATAGAAACTGTTTCTTTGACTTAATAACGAAAACTAAATCTAACAAGAACTAATTACAAAGCATGCCATGGAAAGAGGCAGACTTGAAGATTCTTGGAATACAAAAGGTACACGTCTAAATATCAAAAAAAGGAGGAAGACGTGTGTGCCTGTTTGGTGCCTGAGAACCTGAGAGCCAGGCGGCGGCGGGCTGCTGGGACGGCTGATGAATTACAGAGAAGATTCAGGAAGGCAGGCGGAGGCTCTCAGCAGCAAGGGCCATCGCAGGAAATCGCCGCCCGCCCCCATACCCCCAGCGCGTGGAACTCGCCCTGACAGTTTAATTTAGCAGAGGGCAAGAGACAGGTGCCCCGGGCCGCCTCGCCTGTGTCTGAACGCCCAGAACTTTGTCTCTGCAGCCTTCTGACTTCTTGGTATTTGCCACCTTCTCCACTTTTTCCCGCTTCTCCTTTAAACGTGTTTCTAGTGAAAGTCGTCATTGGTTTATTAAAATGTAAATGCTTCCTCGAAATGTGTTATTTCTTAGATCAGGCATAAGACAGTTAGTTCCTTGAATTTATTTAGCTGTCTCTCTTCATAGTGAGGTGGGATGATTCGGGTTTGTTGATAGAACCATAAATAAGCAGAGTAGATGTGCTTTGTTCCTCAGAAGCAGTGATTTCTTAGACTAGGAGGAAAAGGCCCTTTTCAGCTGTAAATCACTCCAGTTCAGTCCCATCTCCTGTTCACTTAGGGTAGATGGTCCCCCAACATTGTCATATGGACACATACAGCCTACGAGCCGTGCCCTGGCTGAAGGTCAACATTTAAGAAAACTGCCTTTCTGTGGCGTATCTAGTTCTTTGTGTATCCCTGGCTGCGAATGCCTTTATACCTATTTCCTTTCTCCCCACTTCAAGATCTGACCCCAAGTTCTTATGTTGCTTTTACTTTTGTATTTCTTCTTTTTTTTTTTTTTTCCTCAAGAAAAGAAGTGATGAATAGAGGCAGGTCAGCTAGAAAAAGGAAAAGGCGGGGCTGGGCTCTGATTCTTACCTTCCTTCAGCTTTCCACGCATAAATGAGATGCAAATTCAGTAGCCGTAACATTTCTCTCCCATATGAAAAACAGATTTTCCTGGAAGCCGCGAACATTCCCCCGCCCCCCAACTCCGACACTCTTGGTATGTACTCTGCATTCTCTGGTTGACTCTGTAAAAATATTTTCCGAATCCACGTGGCTGTGAGCTGGCAGCGAAGAAAGAACGGTGAGGGCTGGGGGCCGGGGGTGTACGGGGAAGCGGTGACACAGCTCAGGCAGATCATGTCACAGACATGACATGTTCATTCATAGCTTTGTCAGAGTCACCTTTGGGGGAAAGTCACCTTTGTCTTCTTCCACAGAAGAGGCTGCCATTCATGTTTTAATTTGCTGTTACATTTAGGGGAAAAAAAAAACCCAGCAACATACAAGAAAATCATTTATGTTTTTATGATCTGTTTTTCTCCCCCAGAGCTCCTCCTTCCCTCTTCCTCTCTCCCTGGGGAGTCTGTTTCCCTCCTCGCCTCTAACACAGGACTCTGCCACGTGCCCTTCCTGGGGCGAAGGCTGGGGCCTTCCAGAGCCGTGGGGGACGGTGGGCTGTCCAGACTCCCCTGCCAGGCAGCTTGGAGTGTCTTATTCTGGCTGCTGACGGCTTCTGTTCACAAGGGAAGCCTGAGTTCTGGTTTCAGCCATTCGCATGTGGCTCTAGATTCACCAGAGATCATTTGGTCCTCACCCCTGAATAATTAAGAGACTAGAGCAGCAAAGATCCCTCAGGGTAGATTAGGAGAGAGTTCTGGTGCCATGATGGGCGATGGGCGTTGGTCACCTGTTTACCTTCACTCAGGTGTTTGGTTAAGCCCCACAGTTAAGGGTCTTCAGCCACCTCCTTCCTTTAAGTACGAAACTAAAGGGACTGTCGGAAATGGTTTTTTAGTTCGTCGTCTTCTCAAGGCACAGTCATCTATCTATGAGCAGGCCTATTTATTTAGTGTTCCAGATTTACTAAGAAATAATGACATGATCCCTATAGAGGAAATTCGAAATAAATGTATAAATAAATGTATAAATAAATTCTAAATAAATGTATAAATTCTAAATAAATGTAAATGTATCAGGCAGGAAGGAAATTGTTGGGAATATTACCCTGTCTGTCCCTTTAATATCATAGAGGGCCCCTTCCTTCCAAATTCCTAAAGGTTTGGGAAAACATTCCCTTTCCCTGACCAAGTGTTGCTTCTCCTTTATGTCAAATTAGTCTGATGAGAGGCCAGTTTTATGCATCAAGATTCCAAATGTTTTTGAAAGAACCAAAGGTTTACCTCGATATGCCCTTCCTTTTACAGTGTTTCTGAGATAAAGATGGAAGATATTTTGTCTGTTCTGACACGGGATGATTGTTTTAAAGGGAGACGATGGGGAAGCCAGGTGAGTTTTATTATTTATCGTGCTTGCTGCTAACAGACGTGACGCATTTCCTGATTTGGGGAAGCAGTGATTCTGAGTACGGGGCAGTTACTGCCTCTGTCAAGTAAAACGTGTATTTTAAGGACCATGAACATTAGGTGAGGCCTCATCTTGATGGTGTTTTTCTCTGTCTTTGCTCCTGGACATGTTTGCTGGGCTCATCCAGTTAATGGGCTCCAGTCCATCCTGCGCGTCTGCCAGGCGGCAGCGAGCTCCCCAGAAAGGAGGTCTCATCCCAGGCCAGAATGAGTCTGGAGGCAGCGTTACACACTCAGCCCTGGTGGTTCCCCTCCAGATCATCAACAAGGACACCTGGCTAGACCCGTCCACCCAGGAAAGCATGGAAAAAATAAATAGCTCGGAATCTCCATTCGGACACACACACTTAGTTCATCCATTTTTTAACGTTCCGTATACACAGAGGAAGAGTGAAGTTGAGATCATTAAGAAGAAAAATTTTTATTATCCGCGCAGTTCCACATGGAGATCCTGAGCAGTTGCAGACAGCCCAGGATCCTTTCCTGCTCCTTTTCCGAGGCTTCCCCCCTGCTCGGAATCACTGCCCCGCCTCCGCCCCCCACTCTACCGCGTTACTCAGTGTATCACATGTACTTGTCAGTGTGTGTGTAATGATGTTGCTGTGCGTAATTTCGTCCATGAAATTTTCATTATTTGGATATTTTACATTTCTGATGCCTGAGGATAGACTGGAAAGTCAGAGCCAAATAGATCAAGTTTAAGAGTTTCTTTTATGCATTAATATGTGTCTTTATTTGGATCCATATTCTCCCTGAGGCAAGGACTCCATCTGGCTGACCCCGACTTAAGTTCTGTTCCAGAGAGTACCTCCGGAAATGTATCTAAGAAAAGGAGAGGAAATAATCAAGTGTCCGTTACCACAGCGTGTGTTCCAGACTTGGGACTGTGCTAAGCTCTTTACACGCTTGGTCCCGTTCCATCCTCTCAGCAGCCCTATGAGGCAGATGTTACTGTCCCACTTTATAGATGAGACAACCGAGGCTTAGAGAGCTGAAGGAACATTCACAAGGGCACAATAATCATTGATTCTCCTGGTGTGAAAGCAGCAAAGCACCTGTGCTTCACCATGCACCGATAAGCCTCTGTTAGTATTAGTTAAGCCAGGAATTTGGAACTAAAGTGCTTGTTAAATTGGGTAACGTTAGCCATTTTCATAAAGGTGAAATTTGGTCAGTAAATGGTACCACAGCAAAGATCCCCGTGAGCAAGACAGTGATTAAGGACTCGATTGCTCAACACGTTATTTTAAGTGATATTTCATTATAGAACAACCAGGGCACACGAGACTTTGGACCATCCCATATTATCGATAGTCTGTTGTCAAGTGAACTGACCAGAAAGGAAACACTCATTGGTCTTGGTACACTTCTCTGTTCTTTGGAAACTACTGCAAATTCTAGTTGGCGGGGTGGGGGGGGGGGGGGAAGGGGCCATTGAGATAGTATCTGGAAAGCCATAGGAAATGCTGGATGCCTAGGATACAAAACATAAGCGGTTTTTGTTTTTTTTTTTTTCAAATGTTCCCACAGCTATTTAATTATAGCCCCGGGACAGCTACATGGGATAAACAGGGGTACCTGGGGAGCTGTCTGAGGCGGCATGTAACAGCAGAGTGGTCAGGAGCATGGCCTTAGGGCCCAGTTCCTCATCTCACCAGCTGTGTGGCTTTGGGCCAGTACTGGACCTTCCTAAGGTTCATGAGTACATTTCTTTTTGTGTACAATTGAGATAATATTAGTGTTCTCAGAAGGAGATTGGAGGGCTGAGTAGGAAATAACCTGAAAGTCCCAACACGGGTACCAGAGGGTTTTCATTATTATTACTATTATTATGATGATTTTGTTACATCAGTTAGTAGCAGGTGTGGAATTGAAGTCCAGACTCATTGACATGAAGCCCAGCGCCTTTTTTTGCTGTTTCACACTAAGTGGACAATTGGCATCTGCCTGCTCTCCAGAAATAAGAGCAAAGCCACAGAATTACAAAATGAGATGGTAAAGGTTTGAATAATCTAGCCTTACACTGTTTCCAGGACCGGCTGTGGTGTCAGTATTTACCCCCTGAACACAGCCCAGATCTCTCCCAGGCACCGATGGGCGTGTACAGCCCCTGCGCGTCTCTGGGGAAGCTGTGGACGGGTGCAGGGCCCCTCCGGCAGGACGCTCCTCCAGAGCAAGAGAACGTTCCCTCTGCTCTTTCGGGGGACAAGCCAGAGCCATTCTGTTAGCATCCGCCCTTCTGTGGCCTGGCAGCCCCAGTTCCTCTCCTTAAGCCTTTTCTGTGGCCTGAGGCCAGCCTTGAAGACTGGCTGGGGCTTGAGGAGCCTTCATAAGATTGTGGGTGAGAGCTGGGGCCCAGAGTCGGACAGACTTGGGTTCGAGTCCTTGCTTTATAGCCACTCGTTCTGCAGCCTTGAGCAGACTATCTCCTTCTCCCCAGCCTCAATTTCCCCATCTGTAGAATGAGGACAGCACGAGTACCCATCCTGGAGGGTTGCTGTGAGGTTTAAATAAAACGAGGCCCAGCATGCTCTGCACACTCTGGGCCATGTGAGTTCACCTCAACCCTGAGTTGCTGCTCAGATGGACAGGATGTTTTGATATTTTTAAGATCTGTTGGTCTTTGGTTTTAAAAAGAAAAAGTGCTAATCAAGGTTGGGCTTTCACTGACACCAAAATAACTGGTTAACTTAGAAAACTCAACTAAGCATGCCAGGTTCTAGATGACACGTCCATAAACACCACTTGTTTGACCAAATTTACCTTTAAGTCAGAGGACAAAGAAAAACGAAACTAAATTGACTTCATTACTAATTATCTCATAGATAAACAGCCCGCAAGAGTATATTATGTGCATGCCTCATGTGAATAGTAAAGAGAATAAAGTAAATGCTGGCTACAACTTTTAATTCTGGGGGGTTTTTTTAACAGCTTTTTAAAATTATTTATTTGTTTATTTTTTTTTGGCTGCATTGGGTCTTCGTTGCTGTGCACGGGCTTTCTCTAGTTGCGACAAGTGGGGCTGCTCTTCGTTGCAGCATGCAGGCTTCTCACTGCGGTGGCTTCTCTTATTGCGGAGCACAGGCTCTAGGTGCGCGGGCTTCAGTAGTTGTGGCACATGGGCTCATTAGTTGTGACTTGCGGGCTCTAGAGTGCAGGCCCAGTAGTTGTGGCACACGGGCTTAGTTACTCTGCGGCATGTGGGATATACCTGGACCAGGGCTCGAACCTGTGTCCCCTGCATTGGCAGGCGGATTCTCAACCACTGTGCCACCACGGAAGCCCTTAATTCTGTTTTTTGTTTTTTTGTTTTTTTTAATTTAGTTTTGGCTGCATTGGGTCTTTGTTGCTGCAGGCGGGCTTTCTCTAGTTGCAGTGAGCAGGGGCTACTCTTCCTTGTGGTGCGCGGGCTTCTCACTGTGGTGGCTTCTCTTGTTGCGGAGCGCGGGCTCTAGGCCTGCAGGCTTCAGTAGTTGTGACACGTGGGCTCAGTAGTTGTGGCTCGTGGGCTCTAGAGTGCAGGCTCAGTAGCTGTGGCGCATGGGCTTAGTTGCTCTGCGGCATGTGGGATCTTCCCGGACCAGGGCTCAAACCCATGTCCCCTGCATAGGCAGGCGGATTCTTAACCACTGCGCCACCAGAGAAGTCCCTTAATTCTGTTTTAAATACAGTACGTCTTAATTGGTATCCTCAATGTGGGCAGTTCTCTCTGGCACACAGGCTGGTGCCGGACAGATGAATGTGGGCTCAGTAGCCGGGCCTTCTACACACCGAGCCAGACACCTCATCATAATGCCCGTCTTCACCCAGCTTGGTTGAAGGCCATTGTAAATGTCCTTTGGCGTATATACATTTTGGGGCTTCTGTGAACAGAACGCAAGCGAGCGAAGCATCTGTCAAATGTATATTTCATATTTAGGTGTATAAAATATATATAGCTACGTCTGGGTGCGCGAATGTTCAGCCATCTACAAAGAGAATAAATTTGATCTTTCAGCTTGACTGGGAAGCGCTCAGAAGGTTCTAGGGACCGTGGGGGTAAAACTCAGCTTGGCAATAAAATGATTAAAACAAAATCCTTCCATTTAGTTTAAAAATGCCTTAGAAGTTGGCGATTTCAAGACACATGCTTCAGATAACCACCCCCCTGCCACCCCGCCCAAATGCTACCACCTAAAACTGTGTACAACAAAAATAATCCAGCGCAGCTGTCTTAGACTCATCTGTTGCCTCTTGATAGGCATGAATTTTCATCTTCACAGTATAAACCCAAACCCAAACATGTTTTTCCTAAAAGTTTTTTTGTCCTATGAAATACGCCTGTAAACTCATCCTAACAAAAAGCTCACTGGCATGGTGAGAGATTCAAATAAGGTCACAAGCCCCGAGCCTAGTTTTTGTGGAGTGTCTCTTCTCTCCAAGATCAGTGGGGTCTTTACAGAAAAAGGGTATTGAGTGCGTCTGGACCTTTGGAGATGTTATTTTTCTAGACGACCCACAGTCTGCTAGTTGCAAGTTGCTTCATGAAGCAGGACTAAGCCTGCGTCTTTGAGGGCTGGAGAGCCGCCCCCCCCCCCGCCCCCCTGGCCAGGTGCTGCGGGATGTGCCCTCCGGGCTCTGACCCCCTCTCGTTATGGGAGCATTCACCTGTCTGGGGCTGAGCCAGCACTGCATGACTCTGCTCCCTGTGTCTTCAGTTTAAATTCAGACTGTCCTCCCAAGAAGACAGCTGAAAAATACTCATTCTCAAGAGGGGCAATTTTAAAATAAAGCATTTCTGGAAGTGGCGGGGTAAGACCTTCTTTCTCCTAAGTATATTATGTTTTCTGCCATTAACTTTTTCTTATATTCTACTAAAGTGACCTCATCGTTTCAAACATGTGAACCTAGTTTTATCGTGTTTTTTCTACATATTTCACTAGTATACACACTCACATTATATGTATGTGTATATGTAATTTTTTTGGGGGGGGGGTTGGGAAGAAAAGATACCTCATTTTGAAACCTAAAGGGGGAAATAAGAAAAGCCCTTTGTAATATATTGCCATATTATCACTAAATCCCCTGACAGTTGTGACACAGAAGCAAGTCACCTGTCACTTAAGCTTGAGGTCTCTTTAATTTTCTCCTGGAATTCGCACCAGGCTGTCTTTAATTTGAGGCCTTTATTGGAATTCTGAAACCTCTCTGCCTCCCTGGCTCTCAGATCTATTCTGAGAGCTGTTACAGAATGTATACAATAACCAACAGAGGGATTCGAGAGGGCTGCAGCCCTGTTTATTTAACACTCTAGAGGGATTTTTGTGCTTATTCGGTCCTGGCTGCCCGGCTTTCAATATCGCTTTGACAACCATTCTGCCCTTCTCATTAATTTTAAACAGTTAAAACACAGGAAAAAGAGGAAAAAGTTTTCATTATTAAAGTGCTTTACTTTTTAATAACAGAGGATTCTGTCCGCCAGGGGAAAGGGCATCCTTGCTAATTTCACATTCATATTAAAAAAAAAAAAAAAAAAAAAAACGCAAGGAAGGTGACAGTTTCGCTGCTGAGGTGGCTTAACGAAAAGAGGGCAGCAAAAAAAAAAGTTTGCATTTCACATCAGTTAAGAGGGTAAAAAAAAAAATCCTTGTTAATGACAACAGCAAATGTCCACTTTCGTAACACAGCTCCTGAGTGACTTTTCTCTTGACATTTGAGTGGATAAAACCCTTAGGGGGACCATGTACCGTGAAATCGGATAGACTGTCATCAACCAAACAGGTAGCTGGGATGATTTGACTAAACTAAAAACATTTTCAGGTTGTGAAGTCTCTATTAACACAGAGACGAATGTCTCTCCAAAGAAGGAGGCTTGTTCTTCCCCTCCCTGTATTCTTTCTGCGGCAGCTTTAAATGTGAAAAAGACCCGGGTGATGGGGTTAGGGTGACGGGGTTAGGGTCGGTCAGCCAGACCCAGGGGCTCGCACCCTGCCCTCTACAGGAGTTAAAAGCAGCATGAGCTGGATCTCACGCTAGTGAGACCCACACTGGGGGGTGAGTGTGGGTAGAGCTTAATTGGCACCATCCAAAGAATCAACATCTTTGGGGGGCACGTTAGCCAGATCGGGTTCTTTTGGATCTTGGTTTCGTGTTCAACAGAAAGCATTCGTGTTAAGATGCAGGAAACAAAAGCCACTTGTTTTTAGGGGGACATAAAGAAAGGAAATCTTTTCTCTGGGCTTGCTAAAGGCTGAAAAGAAAAGAAGTTTTTATTTTCCTAATATTTTCCATCTGTAAGGTCTTTTATACAGACAGATGTGAGTTCTTACAGAGGGGACTGTTGGCTGCAAAGAGCCATGCCATCGTCTTGAATGTGGTTTGCTGGAGCAGCCCACTCCTCAGTGGGTTCCTGGGAACTCAGCACAGAGGTCTGGGCTGAAAGAGTGAATCTGAAGCATTCAGAGTCTGAACCTCCTAGGAATGAGGAAGCATGCTGTACAGATTCAAGGACAGACTCACCTGTGGTCAGGTGACTGTGGGATGCTCTTAGACAGGAACGGGCAGGCTTCCACCAATGAGTATAAGGCAGGGGAGGAGACTGAAGGCCTAAGCGGGCCATACAAGATGCCTTTAAAAACTGCTTGTGTCCAGTGATGTTTTTTTTTTTTTCTTTTTTTTTGCGGTACGCGGGCCTCTCACTGCTGCGGCCTCTCCCGCTGCGGAGCACAGGCTCCGGACGCGCAGGCTCAGCGGCCATGGCTCACGGGCCCAGCCGCTCCGCGGCACGCGGGATCCTCCCGGACAGGGGCACGAACCCGCGTCCCCTGCATCGGCAGGCGGACTCCCAACCACTGCGCCACCAGGGAAGCCCTCCAGTGATGTTTTAAAGGCCGGAGTTGGACTTGGAAAATTCCAAAGTGTCTCCAGTAGACTTTGATTTTGAACATGAGTCATAAGAGGCCAGGAAGGAAAGTAAATAAGTAAATAAAGAAGAGACGTGATCTGCTCCCTCACCAAGCCACCCACCCTCATCTTCACTTGACTTCAGCACCTTCATCGCTCCCTTTTTTTCCCTAGTAATATTGAAAGGATTACCCTCGTGGGCCCCTCTGTGGTTACTGTGTGATTTTACTGTTATTAAATCTGTTATAAACTGCTTCATTATTCCTGACTCTGACTGTCTCTCCTTTAATCCTTCCGTCACCCTCCCAGAAACCCCGCCCCGTTGGCCCCCAGGACATCCGAGAGCGAGCCACGGTCTTGCAGACAGTGTTTGAAGATTATGTGCACTCCAGTGAGAGGACGGTCGCCGGGGCCAAGAAAGGTTGGTCGATTTCTTAGGTGATTGTGGGTGGATAACCCAGCAGGGCATCGTCCCCACCTCCACCCGCACGCCCCCCCAGACAGGTTGAGAGGCCAACCAGGCGTCTTTGCTCACCAGCAGAAGCCTTCAATCTCCCTAATTCTGCGGGGTTTGGAAGCAGGCACGGAAGGCTTTAGAGTGATATTAAATGTTAATTTCATCCTTCCCCGTGTTTTGCACAAATGAGGCTTTATCTTGGCTTACATCAGGACTAGAGCTTTGACCTAGCAACCTGGATCTCAGGGATCCATTTTTCTCTTTCTTAGAAAACCAGATAGAAGAGATATGACATGTCGGTAGGAGTAGTTGTAGAGATGGAAATTAGAGATGAAGGCAAGGGCTGGAATCATTAGACCAAAGCAGTTCCTGTTTGAAAGTACAAAGGAAAATGAGAAGAACAGTGCTGAGGAAGGGCCGTAGGCCATGAACCCAGTTCCTGGGAAATTTACAAAAGAGTTAGGTACTAATTTAATATTCGGTACCTTTATAGGATAAGTTGGCCCCTGGGATCACCAAGCATTAAGGGTGGACTCAACAGTTCACTTTGAGTGCGGAACAGAGCACGGGAGAAGGGAGCTTAGAACGGCTGCGTGTCTTTCATGCTGGAGCGTGTGTGTCTTGGCTAGTGACTTACCCCCATGTTGGGGGATCCAGAGTTTTTTTCGATAGTTAACCTACTATTTTGAGAAGAATGCCAGGCTGGCTTACCAATAGATAAACACTATAGAATCCTTTCTTCTTTTTATGAATTGAATCTTTAAAAAAAAAAAACGAAACAACATTCCTTTCACAAATATTTATTGAATTGGGCGCCATTCCAGGTGCTTGGGATACACCAGGGATCAGAACAGACAAAAATTGTCACCTTTAGAACATTCTAGTGGGGGAGCAGAAGATGAACATCATAAACACAATAAGTAAATTCCGTATAAATTAGATAGTCTAGGGAAAGGTGATGAGAACAATGGAGAGAACAGAGCAAGTGAGGGAGATGAAGGGGTGAGGGCAGAGTGAGCCCTGTCCTGAAGGTCGATGCTTGAGCAGAAACCTCACGAGGGGCCGCCCCGTGGCTCCGACAGAGGGCGTCCAGGCAGGTTGGGGCGTGGGGGTCAGAGTGCACGGGAACTCCAGGACAGCAGTGTGGCTGGAAGGAGGGGAGGGGTGGCAGAGGAAGGGCATGGAGACCACCCAGGGGACCTGGTTACCGCGAGTGGAAGGGGAACCATTGGAGGGCTTGGGGCAGAGATGTGGTCTGACAGGTCTGAAAAGGTCAGTTGCTGCTGAGTGAGAACAAACTCTGCGCGTACGGGTGAAGGCTGGGAGACTGGCTACCGGGTGGTTATGGTCATATGGAAATAGATGGCAGAACTAAGTTAGCAAGTATTTGCAAGTGCCTGTTACATACCTTAGCACATCATAAAGGCAGTCCTTAGTTAGGCAGTCCTTAATCAGAACTACCCACGATGAGAGATGACGTCCCAGTAATTGCCCCATACTGCTGATAAATAATTAGTGTGTATTCCAGTCTGGTTGCTGATAATACCCTGTCCTAGCGTTTCCCTAAAGTGAATTCGGCAACTCCTAAGGCTCCTCCTGAGAACCTGCCTTTAAAGATGTACTGGAACATTCTGTCAGGAGGAATAGAATGTTTGTCTCAGTGGAACTTTAGAGTTTGGTCATTTGTGGAAAGTTAGGCAACGTCAGCTTTCTGTACGATGCACAATCAAGTGTTTGCAGCAGGATTTCAGGGTTAATAGCAGAGTTGCAGTGAAGAGAAAGAACACCACCGCTATGATGTCAGTGTCAGAGGTCATCTGGGTGTTCCAGCGAGCCTGCAAAGATTTCAGTGTGACTGGGTCCTCAGAGTAAAACTTACAGTCAATAGTCCTTAGAGAATGCGGTTTTGTGTTTTCTCTCGTTATCGTTACCATTGAACTTTATACCAAGAAACAGAGTTACTTGCCTTGTTTTTAAAGGATGTTGGAGTGGGGCCAGTCCCCAATGTTTATGTACCAAGAAGGAAATAAATGTATCATCTTTTAAGGAAACTGCCCGCAGAAGATCTCGGTCACCCCACAGCAGACATTAGGTTCTCCCCAATTCTTCTCTCTCCTCTTACTTAGGATTGAGTTCTGGAGGTTTGGGGGGAATGTACACGTAACTGCCACACCCCAGGAGTTGATACTGTCTTTTGCATTTCAATCTGCATATGCAAATTCCCCACTACTGACTTGCTTCCCTTTTATGCCATTTCAGAACCCACCTCATGAATAATTAACAAAGCAGCTGGGTTTTTGCCTTCGTGGCAGAAACCTCGCTGGAAACTGGGCCAAGTATGCATTTGTTTTCCTTTTGCATTTTCTGACCCAGTCATTGCTAATGACCTGAACTTTATCGTGGTCAGTTTCCAGAAGCAGTTACCCCTTTTTCCCCTCCTGTCTTGCATCTTGTAGCTAGAGCTTCAGGTGGTAAAAATTGTGGTAACCTAAGTTTGAACTCCAGAGTCCTGAACGAAAATTTCAGAAGGCGGAGTCCTTTACCTGCACAGTGCCACTTCCCCTGCGGTTCGAGCCGCTCTTCCCTTAAGACCAAGGGCTGCACGGGCAGGGGCCAGGGCT